CATATTAAAAGCCAAAACATTGTTTAGTACTAGTACCTTAAACAATTTTTCATTGTTAAAATGTAAATAAAATTAATGTTTAATCCTTCATATGAATTTTGAAATAAACTCATTGTCTTTTGCGAGTGATAAATTTTTCACACTTGCTTGATTTTGGTCCTACATATCTTCGATATTTTGGTTATTTTTCATATAAAATCATCCGGGCTGAAGCTTTCCTCTGACTAATTTCAAAAACATATTTAACATATTTTGAAATCACAGAGGTTCTATTTAAATAAACAATGATAACTCTAAATTGATAAAGACTAACGAGAAGTACGTTAAGGGTGTGCTCTGTCCCCAATTCTATTTAATGTATAAGTTGAACGTGTAATTCGATCTTCGCTAAAAAAACGTCCAAGGGAGCAAGAATCAATGGTATTGTAATAGCTAACATAAGCTAGGCAGACGAGACGGTGATCATAGCAGAAAATTAACCATCATAAGATGATCGAAACTCTCAGAACAACTGGAATTAACGAACAAGACTTACGGATTATCTCAGAACTATATTGGCAACAATTGAAATAGAGCACACAACATTCGAAGATATACGAATCCGACGAGAAGTGCGACAAGGTTGCGTCTTATCAGCGTTATTATTTAATCTGTATTCGGAATCTAAATTTAGAAAAGCATTAGACGATATTTAAGGTGGAATCAAGATTAACAGAAACAGCATATAAAATATCAGGTACTCTGATAATACCGTCCTAATAGCAAGCAACGCACAAGAACTACAAGATATAATAAATGCAGCTCGTCATAGCAAAATATTCGGTTTACTTGTAAATGTTTCCAAAACTAAAATTCTTGTATTTTCAAAGATACCAACAAACGTACATTTGTATGCCAAGGGACAAAGAATAAAGCAGGTAACTTCCATAAAATATTTGGGAGTCAATATCAACAGCCAATGTAATCCAATAAAAGAAATTCTATCAAGAGTCGAACATGCGAGAAAAGCGCTCGTAAACATAAAAACATTTTCTACAAGATCAAACCTTAGTCTAGAGCTCAGAATTCGACTGATCAGATGTTACGTTTTCTCTCTTTTGCTGTATGGCTGTGAAAGTTGGACAATGGACTCTGAAGTAGAAAAAAAGAATAGACGCCTTTGAAATTTATATATAAAGACGGGTGCTGAGAATTCCATGAATACAAAAGTTACTTATGGTAAGGCTCATGAGTAAACAAAATAAAAATTACTCAGCATAATCACAGAGAAAAAAATACAATACATGGGTTATGTGTTTGGAGGTAAAAGATATGAATTACTTCAAATTATATTGATTGTGCAGAGCAAAAGATCAGTTGGAAGACGCCAGAATTGTGGCTGAAGGACCTAAAGATATGATTTGATCACTTATCCACAAAAATCTTTCCTGCAGCAGTTTTCGAAGCTTAGATCGACAACCTTGTAGTGAAGATGACGCAATAACAAAAAGAAAGTCTAGCTAATTATGTTTATATCGTCTGCGTAACCTAGGACTTAGTTGATCTTTGTAAATATTATACCTTCTATATCTATAGGAGTTTTTCTGATAACTTTCTGATAACCAACACATGGTTATGAAGTGTCGTGAATCCGACAACCTTCGAATAGAGACGGCTCAATAAGAAAAAGAAAGTCTAGCTAATTATCTTTATATCATCTGCGTAAACTAGGACTTAGATGATCTTTGTAAATATTGTACCTTCTCTATCTATAGGTGTTTTTTTGATAATCAACGGGAACCTACCTATGGTACACGGAACCTACCTACGGATTCGTGCAAAAATGTGATTTATATAACAATATTCTCAACAATTCAAGCAGAAAACCGTGAATTTAAAGTAACACTAGAGGTTCACCAACGAAAAGCAGATCATGCTAGATGTGGTATGAAACAAGATGCAGTATGCAAAACAAAATCCTAAAGAAATTACAGAGATTGCATTTGACTTGATGCGAACGTTGTTCACACCAGTTATCAGCACTGGAATTTCTTACTATAAACGCCAGTTGTAGACTTACGTCTTAGGAGTCCATAATTTGGCTACTAATAATGCTCATATGTATGTTTGGAATGAGACACAAGCATCATGAGAACCTCAGGAAATAGGATCCTGTTTACTGCATTATTTTAAAAATATTGTTACAACAAAACTAACTTTTGGCATCATATTTTAATTTTATAAAATTAAAAAAAAACGCATATATTCTTGGTTCATGTATCCATATCCTTGGTTCATCCATTATTCAATATTTGGGGTTGACCCACTCTTGCTCTCATAGCCTCATTTATAAACTACTGCAAAAAATGGCTTTTTCAATTACCTCTGTGGTCAATTGTTTATGTATTTTAATTTAAAAACTCTCAAAAATTAAAGAACTTTTTATGATCTACAACTTCATTTGAATCATATATAAGAAACGTATTATAGGAGAAAAATATTTTTTTTCTCGTTTTAAGATTGATCAAAAAAACGCAAAGCAAAATTGCTTGTACGTCTTCACGGATTTTTTATCAACTACCCCTCATATAAATTTTAAAACCTTCAAATATCTGTATAAGATTTTTTCTGAAATCAATGATTTTTTACAGATAGACTAGTCCAGAAATACATTAAAACTATTAGAATAGAATAGAATAGAATAGAAATATGCTTTATTGTCACTGAAAATTATTGAACAATTTTATGGACAAAGCTAAAAAATAAATCAGTCAAATAGTACAAAAAGTAAAAAACAAAAACAAATATAGTAAAAAACAGAATAAGACAATTTTAAATTAGTAAAATTATTGTATAACCTACATAATTTGTACAGACAACAACAAATGAGACAAATTGTAGCCACTGCTTGAGACACCCAAATGTAATTATAAACAATACTAATTTTGTTTCTTTGTTATACATTAAGAAACTCGTCAACTGAATAATATGGTCTTTCTGAGAGATAGATTTTTGTCACCTTACGAAACTTAATGAAGGATGTTGCGGATTTAATTTCTCTTGGAAGATGATTATAAAGTTTCTTTGCACGATACAGAATAGAATTCTTTACTAGCTGAGTGGACGGGATCGGCAAATAAACGTTACAATCCGTATTTCTAATGGAGTAGCCATGGTCAGGTCTATCGGGAAAAATGTTTAGATGCTTTCGAATCAAACAAATCGTTTCCAAAATAAATAAAGAGGGAAGCGTCAAAATTCCGTGATTTTTGAAGTACGTCTTGCAATGAGTTGTTTGTTTGAGACCAAATAGATAACGGATTGCTCTTTTTTACAACGTAAAAATAGTATCAAATTGGGCCGCTGTACTAGAACCCCAAAATGGAAGCCCATATTGAAGATGGGACTCGAACAATGAGAAATATGCCATTTTGGCAGAAGATAGATTTAGTTCCTTCGAAACAGATCTTATTGCAAAGCAAGCTGAGGCTAGCTTCTTCCTTAAGGAGTCAGTATGCAAGGACCATTTGAGATCACTGTCAATGAGAATACCTAGAAATTTCACGGAATTTACGATATTGATTTGGCTCTCATTCAAAAGAAAGGGTTGCATGACTCCTTTATAAGATAATGCTACAGTCTTATCCACGTTAAAGCTAAGTAAGTTGGAGTCTGACCAAGCCTTGATTATAAGTAAATCAGCGGTTATAATTGAATGAAGCGTTGAAATATCAGAGCTGCTCCAAGTAATACTGGTATCATCAGCAAATAGAAAAATTTTCCCTTTAATTTTCAAGTAAGTGATGTCATTAATGAAAAGTAAAAAAAGAATGGGACCTAATACTGAACCTTGCGGTACTCCACACTCAATATCTTTACAACTAGAGTCGGTGTCATTTATTCTAACCAATTGTTTCCTACCTACCAAGTAAGTTTTGAACCAGTTCAAAGACACACCCCGAATTCCGTAGAAAGTTAATTTTTTTAATAGAATGTCGTGATTTACGCAGTCAAAGGCTTTGGAATAGTCGCAGAAAACGGTGGCGGAGGAGAGGTTACTGTTTAGTGATAGATATACATCATGTAACACAGAAAATATGGTATCACTAATGCATTTATTAGACAAAAAGCCGGACTGATTTTGCGATAAAATATTATATTTAAGGAAAAAGGGCATAAGTCGAACTTTTATAAGTCTTTCAATAATTTTTGATAGTGCTGGTAACAAGGCAATAGGTCTATAGTTGCAGGCATCAGATTTTTCTCCACCTTTATAAAGAGGAATGACGATGGCAGTCTTTAGGCAGTTAGGGAATGTACCTTTTTCAAGGGAATCATTTACTAGCGAGACCATGACCTCCAAAACATTATGCGGTAGATTTGAGAAAATTTTAATAGATAATCCATCTGTACTACAGGACGATGTGCTTTTTATACTACGAATTGTTGAAATGAGTTCCGTCTTATCAACTGGTCTTAAAAAGAAGGTATCAGCAATGTTTTTTGAATTAGAGAGATAGGAAACTGGATCTTGTTGTGCCGAAATAGTTGAGGTTATATTTTTACTCACATTAACAAAGTAATCATTTAGATTTTCGGGGTTAGGAAAAGAAAAGGTTTGATCCGCTGTACTGGTTTTATTTCGAAAATCGTTTATTATTGACCAAGTTTCTTTTGAAATATTTTTATATATTTTTATATATTTTATATATTAGTAACTTTTAATAGCTTACATACAAGAAGCTAAGAAGTTACACTACAAAACTGGTAACATACATAATGCTTTTGTAATATGTTTCAAGTAGCTACTTTTTCTTTTTTTCCAATTGGCCCTAGTGCCTTTATGAGTTTTCACTTCCTTAACAATACTCTTCCGTTCTGTTCTGCCACCTACTAGTAATTTCTTAATATATGTACAAACCGATACTATTTTTTTTATACTAACACTCATAGGATTTACAAAATATTATGTATTTATTTTACGTATTTTCTTATAGTACTTTAATATATTTTGTTTGCAGGTGTCAGGAATCAGCAGTGAAATTTTTAAGCAGATAGAAACAGTAGAAAACGACCACGATGCGTCAACGGCTGCCGCCTTGGACGTGAGTTATACCATTATATAATCTTTGACAAATTGTGGTTTTTAACAAAAATTATAATTAGCAGTTATAACAAAAATTATGACAAATAAAGTAAACAAATATATTTGACTTCAACTTGGACCAGGCAATGTTAGAGAAAAATATTGAAAATAACAGAATAAGAAAAATATTTTTATATGTACATATTATTATCAATATTATTTTCAGCGTATTCTACCGATTATGGTACAGCCTTACTTACGTAGTGGTTCTTCATTGCTGCCCACGATTCTTTAATATTCGTTTTTCTGCGCCATGCTGTATAGGCTTGCTTCCCAATTTCATAGCCTTATCTTATATTTTGACGTCTTCTTGGTTTCTTGACACCTCTTCGATACGTGTAATTCTAGTGACCCATCTTTTATTAGTTCTTCTCGCTAAATGTCCCGCCCACTGATAGTTTTTAACTGTGGCCTAAATTTAATTCTGTGGATTACATCAGCGACCTTGAGTTTCTGTCTCATTCATTCTATTCTTGTGCAATCTCTCTAGGCTATACTTAGCATGTATTGATCCATTGACCTCTGAGTGACTCTGAGTTTCGATATTATATCTTTCTTTAGTGGTCACGTTTCGCGGCCATATGTCATGGTTGGTAGTATACATTGATCGAATTGCTTATTTATACTTTGCCAGGTTCCAGGTATGACTACTCGTCTACTGTTTTAAGTGTAGTGTTGTTTATTATTACATCTTGGACATCTACTAGCTCGTTGTATATAGTTATTGTTTTTGTCAAGTTCATTTTTAGGCCAACTTCATTGTTCTATCTATACAGCCCTTAACATCCATCCTTGGATATAGGCCTCCTCCTCCTTCTTCCATGCCTCTCTATCTTGGGCAATTTGCATCCATTTTGACCCGGCGTGTTTCTTCAGGTCATCTGACCATCGCATTTGTGGCCTTCCCCTTTTACGTTTGTGATTCCATGGTCTCCAATGTATAATTGTTTTAGTCCATCTTTCATCTTTCTGCCTTAGGGTGTGTCCGGCGAACTTCCATTTAAGCTTTGCTACTTGGGTTGAGACATCTTTTACTTTTGTTTTATTACGGATCCATTCGTTTCTTTTTCAAGGCCAATCTTATTCTTCTCTTTATTTCTTCGGTCTGATTTTCTTTATTTTATTTAGTGATTTGGCCTAGATATATATATACTCTTTTACTTGTTCTATTTTTGTTTGTGCCACTGTAATTATAAGTTCTTCTGGTTGATTAGTCATGGTTTTTGTTTTACTATAATTCATCTTAAGTCCAATTTTTGTCGATTCTCTATCTAGCTCTTCCATCATTCTTTGTAATTCTTCACTTTTTGCTGTTATTAATACAATATCATCAGCATATCGTAAATGATTCAGATTTTGCCCGTTTATATTAATTCCCAAGTCATCCCAGTGTAGTCGTTTAAAAACATCTTCTAGCGCTTGGTTAAATAACTTGGGCGAGATGGTATCTCCTTGTCTTACTCCTCGGTTTATTTTAGTAGGCTCCGTTTGTTTCATTAGCTTAATAGTTGTTGTTGCCTTGTTGTATATATTTGTAATTAAGTCGGTATATCGGTAGTCTATTCTGCTGTTTTGTAGGGAATTCTGTACTGCCCAGTGTTCCACACTATCAAATGCCTTCTCAAAGTCAATAAATGTCATGTATAGCGGGATATGATATTCGTTAGTTTTTTCGATTAAAATCTTCATCGTTAAAAGGTGGTCACTTGTACTGAAGCTCTTTCTAAATCCGGCTTGTTCTCTTGCCTGGTATCCATCTAATTTAGTTGTTAATCTATTTTTTAATATTTTGGTTAATAGTTTGTACATCACATTTAATAAAGTTATGGGTCTGCAATTCTTTAGATCCTTTTTATCTCCTTTCTTAAATAGTAACAGTGTTATTGCTTCGTTCCAACTGCTGGGTATTTGTTTTGTCATTAAAATTTTATTCATAAGTATGTACAAAACTTCTCTAGTTGTTTTCTTACCATGTTTTAGCATTTCTACAGTCACCCCGTCTTTTCCTGGCGATTTATTGTTCTTCATCTCTTTAAGTGCTCTTTTTATCTCGTTCTTACTGATCTCTGGTTGTAAGTCGGAATTAACATTTTTTATTTTTATTTGTAGTTGCTTAAGGATTTCTTGGGTTGGTTTCTGTTTTGTATTGTGGAGGTTTTTATAATATTCTTGTGTTATCTGTATAATTTCTTCTACATTATTGGTCTATGTACCTTCTTTGTTCTTTATACTATTAATTTGTATGGTTCCAAGCTGTGGTTTTAAGCACTTCATGTTTTTATTTTGTTCAATTGCTTTTTCTATTTTTTTTCTTTCTGTACTCTCCTTTTATAATCGTTGATATTCCTTCTCCAACTTCATTGTTAGCTGCATTAAAGTCGTTTATATGTACTTGTAGTCCTGCAGGATTATTATTAACCAGAACGATGTCATCTGCAAATCTTAGATGGCTCATATATTCTTTATCAATGAATAGGCCTTTGGTCTGCCAGTTTATATTGCTGAATATATTATCTGGAATCGCAGTGAAGAACTTTGGTGATATTGCGTCTCATTGTCGGATGCCTCCGGTAGTGAGAAATTGAGAAGATTTTTCATAAATTTTTACTTTGGCTTTTGCTTATCTGTATATATTTGCTAAAGTGTCTATGGACGGTTTGTCAATGACTTGATTGATTAAAGCTTCTATTACTGCCTTTGGAAGGTATAGAGTCGAAAGTCTTCTCGAAATCTATGAAGGTTGATGCTAAATATTATATTTTCGTTGGCTCTACTTATTAGTTCTCGTAGTGTATGGATATGATCTAGGGTATGGAATCGACTTCTGAAGCCAGCTTACTGTGTTGGCTATGCAGAATCTAATACGTTTGTTAATCTGTTGTTAATGATCTTTGTGAATATCTTATATAAGATTGGTAGAAGAGTTATAGGTCTGTAGTTTTTTATATCGCCCTTGCTAACTTTTTTATGAATTAAAATTATGTTTGCTGTATGTCAGTGGTCTGGTATGCATGTTGATCTTAGACAGTTCGTTAATATGTCTCCTAAGATTTTCCAGGATTTTTTTGGCAGTGTATTTAAGCAGTTTTACTGTTATGCCATCTACTTTAGCTACTTTACTATTTTTAATTTATGTATTTATCCAATCTACTTCTTCTGGAAAGACTTCTAGTACATCTTCTTGGTTACTAATTGCTTTGTTAAGTGCTTCAGGGGCTTTGTATAATGTGCTACGAATTTAGTCACGAGTTATATTATTTCATTTCTGATGTTTTCGTTTGGTAGATCAACGATCTGCCTTTTCACAATGATAAATGCTTTTCTTCTTTTTTTATAAATAGTTTTTTTCTATTTTCGATTACATTTTCTACCAGTCTTTAATTTTATTTTCTTACGTTTTCCTTAATAATTTTCCTTAAGTTCTGTGTATTGTATGCTCTATATGTTGCAACTTAATTTTATTTCTTTTCGTTGTTTTAGTATTATTTTGGTTTTATTAGATAGTTTACTTACTACGTTGCGGACCTCCTATTTATTTGGCACTATCAAGGATAAGGTCCATTAATTAAGATCTAAAATATTTTATGCTCCGATTATTCTACGGTCGCTACCAGTTTAAATATTATTTACTACACTAACATCTTTTATTGTAGCAATCTTGTTGCTTAGAATGAAGTCAATATCGTTCTTACTGGTTCCATGTATGTATTTGCAATAGACGTGTTGTAGTGTGCATACAAACTAAATCAGTCGTTCTCCCCTTTTAATTTCTCTCATCGAATCCATACTTTCGCATGACTTGTTCCTTGTCATCTCTCTTGCCAATTTGGGCATTTAAGTCACCAATTTAACACTTGAATACTTGAAGTAACTTTTATTTCTATTTAACGCTTTAATTAAATTACTGTAGAGTTCCTCTATTTTTAATATATATTTATGTGGCTAAATTAGCGAAACTGATCGTTTCGTCAAATTAGAATACAAGAGGATCAAAAATGGATAGATCTGATCCATGTTTTTATTATCCAGTCATAGAATCCTTTTAAAGATAACTAACATTTCGTATTGTTACTTATATCTAATACAAAATTCTTTATAAAAATTATAAAGAGGTAAAGGTAAAAATTTCAAAGAATTATAAGCAGATAAACAAAAAGAAACTTCACTTCTTATCTGGTCTCTGTAACTCAACCCTACATTGTACTCCAGAAGTCATCAACATATGCGACACACCTTATGAACAAACTCCACCATCCGAGGAAACACAAGAATGCTCAATGACCGAAAAAATCAGCTATTTTAAAGATCAACTCTCTAATAAATTAAGACTTTTAATTAAAACTGCAAAAAGAAATTATACAAAACAATGAATTGAAAAAAAATAAGACCACTTCTTCATCACTCTGGAATTTAATTAATTCATTGTGCACAACAATAAAAGGAAATACAAAATTAAATCGGTTAAAACCAAAACAGGAGAAACAATAACTGATAGAAAAAAAATTGCAAATGAATTTAGTACAGATTACAGTACATTAGGACAAAGGTATGCACAAAAAGTACCTATTTGTAATGACCAGATTGACGAAATAGATAGGATAGAAAGCAGCATGCACTTGTATCTCGTTGCAATACAATCAATACAATCTTTAAAACCCAAAGAATTCTGGGTGGGATGCTATAAAGACAAAAACTATCAAATAAATTAAGGAAGATATTATTATTCCTTTAACTTTTCTCATTAATGCATGTTTTCAGGATGGTTGTTTTCCAGAATGTCTGAAAATAGGCAAAATCAAACCTCTATTTAAAACAGAAAATAAAGAAGACTTGATTAACTACAGACCAGTCTCTTTCTTATCTGTTTCTTTTTTCCAAAATATTTTGAAAATTAAAAAAAATAGATTAGTAAGTTTTTGGATACGTTTTGTATAATATCGGATTGCCAATAGGATTTTA